GGGGACCACAAAACGCTGAAAAACGAAACCTTAGCATCAGGAGCAATTTCATCATCATCACCATCATCATCACCATCATCATCATCATCATCATTTACATATCCATAACCATCCACCTAACACCCGCCCTACGATCTGCAAGTGCATGAGAACGTGCAGCAGCGTAGCATGACGTATGTGTGCAAGTGCATGAGAACGTACAGCAGCGTAGCATGACGTATGTGTGCAAGTGCATGAGAACGTACAGCAGCGTAGCATGACGTATGTGTGCAAGTGCATGAGAACGTACAGCAGCGTAGCATGACGTATGTGTGCAAGTGCATGAGAACGTACAGCAGCGTAGCATGACGTATGTGTGCAAGTGCATGAGAACGTACAGCAAATGACGCTATTATCCCACCCAACCCCACCCCACCCCCCCCCCCACCCCCCCCACACCCCTCGTCTATGATGTTGTTTTTAGTGTAATGTCAAAAAGTAGCAACAGCGGGGGCCGGATCAGATGCCCGGCACCTTAAACACATCATGAAAAAAATTCCTCCTCCTCCTCCTCCGCGTCCCTCTCCCTTCTCTGCCTTCCTCTCCTTCCTCCTCCGCTTCCTCCTCATCATCATCAGCCGCCTCGTCATCGTCATTGTCATCGTCCTCGCCATTGTCATCGTCATCATTACTGTAGTGTCTTTGCCGCTATTCATATGATCGATCAATATCTCTCATTGTCACCTTTATTGTTATTTTTCATTTTTGGCCTTTCTCTCCTCGTCATGGTATAGTGATTATGGTGCTGCTAATGCGACTCCTTCTCTCCTGAGATCGGATAACTCCTGATTTGCATAGTTTTTGATAAATTTTACTTCCATAAACCATGCAACCCACAGCACTCTTATGATCTATTATAATATTTTTGGGATTTTTCATATGGACAAACTCATTCCATATGCAGACAGAGATTCCCACAATTGGTTGAATTTTCACATTATAAGAATCATAAGGATTCCGTCTCCAACATTTCAGGTGCCTACCCTTATCCAAACGAAGTAGTTGCAGTGTAAACTCTAAGAAATTGTTCAACTACGCTGAAAGTATTGAAACAAAAGAAAGGAGACCAGATGCCAAAAAGGCACAATGACGGATCCAAATAAGTACTGTATGCCATGCGGACTTTGGCCTATACTCTGTCCTTCACAAAGAATTATGAGGACGAATGCTGGAGACAGACCATGTAAGGCACCTCTAACAGTCCACCCGAGAAGTGCATTCAAGCATCAACAAACACTCACAGAAGCGGCCTCAAGATCCAGAAGTGAATCCACATTTCAAAAGTCTCCCTGAAATCACCGAGTTGTTTTGCATGAGCAGCCTCCTGGTCATTTGTCTATCATGATTTCTTATCAAGATCCAAGGCTGAGAATTGCAACTATTTGCGAAATCCGTCCAAGTATATTTTGAGCCGCAGCAGCAAGAAGGAACTGCATGAAACATTATGCTGGAATGCTGGAATGCTGGAACAACATCATATCAAGGTTGCAAGCAAATGGACGCGAGATTCAATTTATTTGACAGTTGTCAAAAGAGGTTTCTACCATTTTCTAGTTTTTGCTGTGACTTAGGAACGCCTGTGCTAACGGCACAGTCCCAAAGTCTCAGAGCGGAGGTGCCGATTCTTGCCAAGTTGCTGCACTTCTCATCGGGCTAGTTTATTCCGCACATTTGACGCTGTTCCCAACAGCAGGAAGCTGTCGGGTTTCAATCTCCAGAAGCAGGGGCTGGTGTCGCGTTCCTACCTCTGGCATGTATGCGCAGGGTTCTGGGAACTTTGGAACCTGATCTCCCAGTGTCTCCCACTGTGCCTCTTAGCTAGTCTCCCACTGTGTCTCCCACAGTGTCTCCCACTTTGTCTCCTACTGTGTCGCACATCCAGAACCTTGGACCCCGTCCGTCTCTTGCTTGGTCACTTTGTCTCCCCGTTGTCTCCCAGTTTTGTCTCCCACTCTATCTCCCGCCTTGTCGCCCATTTTCTCTCTCTCAATTTGTCTCCCACCCGGTCTCCCACTTTGCGTCTTCAACTATTCCACTAACTCTCTATATCTCTCCCACGATCGTGTTTCCGCTCTCCTTGTTTCCCTCTGTATCTCACAGCAAGTCTCAGGGTGTGCCTCACACTGTGTTTTGGAGACTTTGTCTCCTGAGTGTGTCGCATTAGTCTCCCAGCTTGTGGCCCACTTCGTTTCCCTGGCTTTGTCTCCCAGCTTGTGTCCCACTTTGTCCCCCACCTTGTCTCCCACTATGTTCTCCACTTTGTCTCTCACTATGTCTCCCATTTTGTCGCCCACTTTGTCTCCCACTTTCTCTCCCACTTTGTCGCCCGCTTCGTCTTCTGCTTCGTTTCCCACTGTATCTCCCACTTTGTCTCCTACTTTGTCTCTCACTTGTTTCCCACTGTGTCGCGGCCTACTTTGTCTGTCCTTAATGCTGGGAGTCAACATGTGGCCTTGAGTTTGAAATCTTCACTGCTGTTGGGTTGCAAAGCTGGGTTAATTTGGATTGCTTTGCAGTTTCGGTAGAATTTTGCTGTACATTTACATAGCAGCATATGACATGAGGTTACATTATCGAAGGAAGTTTAGAAGTCAAACTTCCGACAATATGGACAGATGAAAAGCAGAGATGGGAAGAGTCAGAGAGAAGAGAAGAGTAGAAGAGAGAAGAGCAGAAGAAGAGAAAGAGCCAGAAGAAAGAAGATGCAGGTGCGCGAAAAGGTAGGAAAGTCGCGAAACACCTGTGTGTTTTCCAATGATTTGTGGCTCTGGAGTGGAGGGTCGAAAAGTAGGCTCGCTAAAGCGGCGGGCGCGGAGCCATCTAGCCAGATGAGAGCTGAAAAATTGCACGCCGTTGTGGCACGAAGCACATTTCCAAGTCAAAATGTACAAACCACCACATGCTCGGACCACTTTTGGAAGTTGCGATGTCGAAAAAGTGCACGCAGTTTTTGCGCGAAGCAAAGTTCGAAGTCAAAATGTACAAAGCACCTCAGCTTCGGAACACTTTTTGAAGTTGAGATGTCGGAAAAGTGCACACCGTTGTGGCGCGAAGCAGGGTTCCAAGTCAAAATGTACAAAGCACACCATTCTCGGAGCACTTTCTGAAGTTGACATGTCGAAAAAGTGCAGGCCGTTGTGGCCCGAAGCACATTTCCAAGTCAAAATGTTAAAACCACCACATGTTAGGACCACTTTTGGAAGTTGCAATGTTGAAAAAGTGCACACCCTTGTGGCGCGAAGCACATGTCGAAGTCAAAATGTTTAGAGCACGAAGGGTTCGGACCACTTGTAGACGTTCAGATGTCGTTTGCGTGGCAGGCGCAAGGGATTGTGCACCTGTCAAAAGTGAGCAAGACGTGGGGGTTTGTAGCATTTTCAACTACAAACACCACACTACACTCCAACACACTACCCTACAACTACAACTACACCTTCACTATATTCCACTACACGCCACTACACTACACTACACTCCACTACACTACACTACAGTACACTACAGTACACTACACTACACTACACTACACTGAATGACACTGCACTACACCTACAACTACAACTGCAACTGCAACTGCAACTGCGTTACATTACGCTACACTAATGACACTACATTACACTACATCACCCTAACTACAACTACAGCTACAAAAGACTACACTACACTACACTACACCACACCACGCTACGCTACACTACACTACACTACACTACACTACACTACACTACACTACACTACACGACACCACACCGCACCACACCACACTACACTACACTAATTACATTACACTAGACTGCATTACACTACACTACACTACACTACACTACACTACACTACACTACACCCCACTCCACTACACGTCACGTCACCACACTACACTCCACTACACTCCACTACACTACAGTACACTACATTCAATTACACTACACTACGCTACACCACAGGACACTACACTACACTACATCTACACCTACAAGTACAAGTACAAATACAATTACAACTGCAATACATTACAAAACGCTACGCTACAACTACAGCTACCACTACACCTACACTACACTAATTGCATTACACTACACTACACTACACTACACCACACTACACTACACTGCACTACACTACACTAATTGCATTACACTACGCCACACTACACCACACCACACCACACCAGACCAGACCACACCACACCACACCACACTCAATTACACTACACTACCCGACCCTACCACACATTGCATTACATTACCTTACATCACATTACATTACATTACACTCATTACAGCGCCACAAATGCAACTGCAACTACACTAATTACACTACACCATAACTACAACTCCACTAGACTACAACTACAAATACAGCTGCACTACACCACACTACATCCAGCAGTTGTGGGTGAGGTGACCGACCAGGTGACCACTGCAACCATTGCAGCCACTCCAAAAAACACAGCTCCAACCACCTTTCGGTCCATCAGTATCAGTGGATTCGCTCTGCCATCCGTGATTCACAACAACCAATCTCTCCTATAGGTTTCCTATTTTTGAAACTTCCGCCACCGCCTTGTGCGGCACTACTGGTATTGCATTACATTGCTCGCATATGTACATCTTTACACAGCACAATGCATCCATGTGTGCTATGTATGCGTACATTTGTGGTTCAGACTGTCCTTACTTTGGGGCATGTGGGGACCGCTTCGGTAAACCAGGTCTCCAGCCTGCAAGTACTCCGGCTGTCTCCAGTGTAGGTACCAGGGCTAGAGGGATGGAGGGTCATATTACAGGCATATTCATGTCATTCAGTTGCCCCTTCATTTTGGCTCTTGGCACCTCCCAGTCTGGGACATGTGGGCTTTCCAAGACATTTTCCAGGTCAAGGTTGTGAGATGCTGAGGTGATGGTGTGAACGAACAGAGGGCCCAAAAAACCGCTCCAATGATTGCAGGAGATCCTGAAACAATGGAGCAGCTTCTCCTTAAGGCCACCCTGTTGTCCCAAAAGAGAACCTGCCAAGTGGTCCTTTCAAAGGCAGTAATACGGACTTCAGACACCTCCAATCGCAAAGCACACTGTATCCAATGGTATGTTTGGTCTGTTGTCTCCTATGGTTTGTGATTGTGCTTCAGGCACAGCAAGTGGGTGTCATGTTGTCCAATGAGGCCAGAATTTTGCGATGCTGCGATGTGGTTAAGGAAGGATTGGAAGGTTTAGGATGTTGAGATGTTGAGTCTAGTGAGTCTAGTGCTGCTGTGGATGCATCTCTGCAGGCCTTGACGTCCCTGGCACAGCTTCCTCCAGAGCATTCAGTGGAGCTGCTGGAATTTGTCCTCGATCGAGCGCAGGAGTATTGACCAGGGACTACCGTCAAGGGACAGCTGGCCTTCAGGGAAGTCTTCTTGATAGAAACTTTAGACATCGTTCCATTTCAAGAAATTTCAAGAAGACAAATATCAACAAATATCAAGTATTATCAAGTGTTTGAACTTCCTCCACCTTTTTGAAATCCGACTGTCATGGAGAATGCTGCACCAATCCTCGCTTCTGACAGGATTTGCGCCATGTCTCGAATTACATCGTCGGTGATTCCCTCGGAAACAACGTTTTTTTCACGGTGCTGGTGCGTCGACGTGGGCTCGATCCAGGTTGTTGGAGTCGATCAAAGATCAAAGATCAGCTCTGAGGCACCGTTGCTCGTGGCTTCAAATCGCAGAAAGGCACGTTGGAAGATTTGGAAACAACGGTGGCTTCGAATCATTCGAATCATAATGCAGACAAATCAAACAAGTGGTTGCTTTTTGAACAGCTTCGAGGATACTCTTTGAGATCTGTCCAAAGCCGAATCATTGTCAATTGTCATCTCACTTTCCTAGTCGAAAACTTCTTCGGAGAGAGATAGCTTCAAATATTTGCATGACTGTCTCACTCAGGCACAAAACGAGGAGGTGCCGGTCTCTATCCAATGTCCTACGGTCCTATGGCCATGCGGTTGCTTTCTTTTTTGGTTTCCCCTCACGACAGCAAGAAACTCAGGGACAGGGCAGCTTCTAAATGTTTAGTGGCAGATACCTGTGCCGTTGGCAGGCGAATCGCAAGAGGCCGTGCAGAGATACTGCAAGCACCTGCAGGAGAACTGATACGGAATAAACCGGGTTTCGAGTTTCCACTAGAGTTTCTGGGGTTTCTACATGTTTCTACTATTGCTGAGTTTCTACAGTCATTTTGGCCAAATGGACCCTTTGGAGAATCTCCTGCCATCCAGCGGTTTCTTCAGGAGAACGGCATTCAGCTGGATCCTTCGGCACACCAGGCCTTGGGTAACATTCCTGCCAATGATGCTGCCAGGGTTCCCAGGTGGCTCCACTGTCCGGCAGGTGGAGAAATCGTCATTATTTCTGGTTTGTAGATAGCTGTGGTTTGGCTTCCGTGAATTTGGTGAGGTTGAGATACTTGAATTTGTGGCTGAAAATGCTGGACATCTGAAAAGTCCGTGCGAGTCTCAGACAAACTTGGCATGCAGACAAAGACTCCTTGTTGACTTTCCGCGGATGGGATTCGGTCAGGTCTGCCTACATTTGCGGAAGTGCGGCGTGCTCAAAGGGGCAATTTTTATCATTTTTTTGTCGCCATATAGAAATCTGAATTCAATCTGAGCGATTTTGCTATGGTAAGACACCACTCAGGTCTCCAGAGTCTCAGCCACTTAGCACGATTTGGAGTGACGTCTGCACGAGGGATCGGGTCTGGAACTCCTTGATTGATGCACCGCTCAGGGAGCCAATGGAAGCGCGGATTCCAATTGGACACCTGAAAGCTTCTTGCCTTGAGATGCTATTTATAGCCTGATAATGCCTGATACCAAACCACTTTGTTATTTTGTTTGTGGTCCCTTAGTGACAGAAAAGTAAAACCTCAGTCAAACAGCTACGATAACTTTATGAAACTATGAAGGACTTTGTATTCTGATTTTATTCAGAACTTTCAGAGGATTTTGCACATTGAATGCTTGGAGAAGGAAGGTTCTGCCACGGCAGCATCACTGAGGTGTTGGTATGAATCCCCAGCATGTTCCATCAGACATCACCTTCTTGGAGAGGCGTGGTTTCTTTGGTTTAAGATATGACTGATATGACGTTTCGTCCACGCCCTGTTGAGATTTATTGCAAGCACGCTGCAAGCATCTTCGAGTAGGAACTCGTCAAGGGTGGAGGGTAGATAGGACAAGAGCAAATCCATCCATAGAACTGCGGAGTTGTTTTTGAAGCTGAACATGATTGGATGACTTTGTCATCCGCAGAATTCACATGATTCTGTCCACACAGGCGAGTGCTGAGTGTCAATGCAAGCAGTCAGGGTGAGCAGATCGATTTGACCAGCTACCTTGCCTGAGTCTTAAGATGAGTCAATACTTGTGTATCCATCCTTAGAGGGGTGGACGTCCATTTACAAGCTATTTTGGTGATCACCGGAGCACCAGAAATTTGACCCAAACCGAAATGACACAGATTCCTGGTGGGGACAAACTTAGGTGAAACGGGCTGCCTAAGTAAACATCCAGCTGACTTCTCCAGGGAATTCAGAACCCAAACAGATTAGATGCCGTCGAAGCTTGGGGGTTGGGTAGACCGGGTAGACATGCTAGATGCAGAGGCAGTACTCTTCGTGGACAGAGCTGAATGGCCTGAAATGAGGGAAGAGCGTAAAATCGGTAAGAGCGCTAAGAGCTAAGATCTTGATATCCGTTTTGTCCCCAAAAATCTGGCTGTTCCATGCAGGCATCCAATTCCGCCATGCATTTTTTTGCGAGATCATGTCAGCATGGATGAGCATTGCCTTGGTACATGCTCCTCAATGTTGAGGCCCTCAGATGTTTGCCGGAATGGCATGCCAAAGAGATGTTGGACTCTCTTCAGGCCTCAGGGCGCGAGGAGTCAACAGTGATACAGGCGGTGGTGCAAGCTGCATTCTGGACTACATAGACTTGATTCCAGTGGACCAGGCCAGAAAAGGTGCCATTTCAAGTCCTTGCAATTACATTCAGGCCGGCAGAGAGTGTGCGGATTTCGAACAACTCAGACTTCCCTTGTGGATCTTCAGGTTTTCTTGCTTGAAGTGTACATCAACATTTTGTCAAACATGCTGTGCGTGTAATTTCTGTAGCACCGTCAGGCAGCAGTATCCAAGATAATCAGAGGGCAGCATGGTCGAGGCTCCAGATAGAGCTCTGCTTTGTTCTGTGAGCTTCCTGCAACTACGAAAAGTGAATATTTTAGTGAAAATACAGACAGACAACTCGGACGACGCATGTCTTTGTATTATTGGCTCAGGCCCCCAAGACTTCAACATCTTGCCATCAATAGTGTTGCAGGAGGTGTTTTGCAAGAGATGTAACTTGGTTGACTAAACATGACAGACCACATGAGTGCTGACATGTGCTTCTTGGTACCTTACCTTTTGGCCCAAGTCTTTTGTTCACAATGAGATCAATGAGATCCGTTGCTTGAGACTCCACAAGCGAAAATTGGTTCAAGATTTGTGATGGGAAAAAGCTTTTCCAGTCGTCCCTTGATGGAATCAGATAGTGAGAGCGCAAGTAGTGGAAGCGAAAATGGTGTTCTCGATCGCTTTCGCCAGTGCCTGAGTTTCAAATTCGCAGCCTATAGTTTGCTGGCACTGTTATCCATCAACCTTTGCTATCACACTCTCATTTTGACTCATGTGGTTCCTTCAAAGTACGTATGGGGGGGTCGACTGAAATCCGAGTCGAGCTTGATCCAGTTCGAGACAGTGTCACTGTCTCTCAACCTGTCTTTCATTGTGCTCGTTGTTCTGCGAGCGCAACTCTGCCATACACAATCACCGCAGTTTTGCCTGAGGGTGCTGTGTTGGATTTGCTACATCATTTTCACATTGAACACACTGGGGAACCTTCTGGCGAAAACCTGGTTTGAGATGCTGACTTTCGCACCTGTGACACTCTATGCATCTATCGCTTTTGCCCGGCTGGCACTGGGAGACGAGGAGATCTAAGTGGAGCCCCTCAGAAAGTCTCCTGACCACCCCCCCTTCGTGTTTGCAGGGACTGCGAGCAACTGGGGCTGTGCGTTGACGTCGTTGCTTAGAGAGTGCAGCATGGAATGGGAGTCACAAATGTGATTAGAAGCTGCAGTGTTGAACTTTAAAAAGGTACTGTACGTTAGATTGGACTCTTTTCGAATGCGAATTGAGAAAGTGGTCAGGTGCAAACTAAGTCTGATTTTTGGGAAGGATGTCAGTAGGCGACAGCCCACAACTGCCAGGCTATGCTCCCTATTGAGGTCTATTGAGGCTGGGACGGATTGGAGCTTGCTTCTCTGATGGATAGGTCTTGCATGATTGTGCACATACCCATCCATGGGAGGTGCATGCACAGTCAAGACTTGGTTTGGCGCAAGAAAGTGCAACTGGTATTTTGTTTCACAAATGCAAGACGAGAAAGGCCTTGTCACACTCCAAACAAATCGGCAGTAGAGCAGTTGGCAAGTTGGAAACTCACAACGAGCATTCCATCCTCGTCTCGTTCATAATTCTAGCCTTTCGACCGAAGTGGCATATGGGAAGACATGCAGTCTGACCTACTCTACGAAGTGCCAGACAGCCAACAGTTTGGGATGTTGTTCAACAGCCTGTAAAGCTTCCTCAACTGAACAAATGAAATGTTCGACCTTTGTACAAGCTTTTCTACTACAAGCTTTCTCTGACCTGCCAATGAAGAACTCCTCAAGCATATGAGTACTGGTATTTGTGGCAGGCAGTTGTGAACCCCACCAGGACCATTCACTCCCCAAGTGCCATGTGTCAAGCTTGAAGGTGACGCGGGCCCAATGATGTTGCCCTTCGTGCGCAGAAGGAAAAAAGGGGTCAGTTTCGTTAAGAGGTGGAGCAAGAGCCGTCCATTCCACAGCAGTGGATCACCAACGTTATTAACCGACTTGTGAAACGATGACAACTTCTGTGAAACCTGGACAACTTCTTGGAAACGTTGACAACTTCTATGAATTCAATGACACGATCTGAAACATTCTGAAATATTCCGAAGCACTGGATTCCGCTCTTGACCGGACTCCCGAAAAAACAGGGGGCTCAAAAGCTCAGAGCAATGTGACTGCTATGTGTGGCACTCTTGCTGAGCTGCTTTATTTGGATTTCGTCCCACTGCGTACCATCTTTTCCATCTCCCGGTTTCTCTCAAATCAACCTTTCAAACCGAACCTATCAACTTTTTGGTGCTCTGGGGAAACAGGGGGTCATGAGGGAGTCTGGTTGGGAAGCATATCTCTGCATCCACGAGGCTCAAGATTGCTGGGTCCCAAAGATGGACGAGCCTGGGCCTGCGCTGCGACTGCTGAAACGGCGACTGAAGCAGCGCATCTGCAGCTCTGAGCTGCGGGTGGGGCTCAGCCTGGGATGACTGCTGGAGTGAAGAATCGCATTGAGCATCAGCAGCACATGCTTGGATAAGATTGGATAAGTACATGTAATATCACTAATACAATATATATATATAATATATATATATGTATATATATATATATATTATCGAAGGAAGTTTAGAAGTCAAACTTCCGACAATATGGACAGATGAAAAGCAGAGTTGGGAAGAGTCAGAGAGAAGAGAAGAGTAGAAGAGAGAAGAGCAGAAGAGAGAAGATCAGAGAAGAGAAAGAATCAGAAGAGAGAAGATGCAGGTGCGTGAAAAGGTAGAAAAGTCGCGATTCACTGTGTGGCTGCAGAGGGTCGAAAAGTAGGCTCGCTAAAGCGGCGGGTGCGGAGCCATGTCGTCAGATGAGAGATGAAAAGTTGCACGCAGTTGTGGCCCGAAGCAGATTTCCAAGTCAAAATGTACAAAACACACCATGTTCGGACCACTTTTGGAAGTTGAGATATCGAAAAAGTGCACGGAGTCGTGGCGCAAAGCACATGTCCAAGTCAAAATGTACAAAGCACACCATGTTCGGTCCATGTCGAAAAGTGCACGCCGTTGTGGCGCGAAGCACATTTCGAAGTAAAAACGTACAAAACACCACATGTTCGGACCACTTTTGGACGTTCAGATGTCATTTTGCGTGGGGTGCAGGGGATTGTTTGTGCACCTTGTCAAAAGTGAGCAAAACTTGAGGGTTTCGTAGCAGTTTCAAAAACGATGGCAGGCGTGAGACATTTGAAGAGGATCTGCAAAGATGCATTTCGCGTGGCAGGCGCAATGCCAGAGACATGTTCATCAGAAATGTTAGGAGGTCAGGGTGCTGATTACCTGAGATGGGTTGCATTTTGGAGCATCAGATCTTCAGTTTTGGGAAGCTGATTTTGTGTGACAAGTTCAGCACTTCGTATGACCCGGCTTCACTTTTTCGTGGCAGTTGCAATACTTTAGACACATGGACTGCAAAATCGCAAAACGCATTGGCACGAGGCCGTCAGCTCTGCACTCAACTTTCCATTATAATTAGAAGGAAGTCTCGCAGAATTGCTTCCTTTTTGATGTTGCCAACTTCAAAACTTGAGGAAGCCTCGCAGACTTGTTTCGTTTTTGACGTTATCAAGTTCAGAAGTTGAGGAGGTCTCTCAGAATTGCTTCGTTTTTCATGTTGTCACCTTCGAGAATGGAGGACGTCTCTCAGAATAGCTTCGTTTTCAAGCTTGCAGATAGATAGATAGATAGATAGATCGATAGATAGATAGATCGACAGCTACAACCACCACTACCGCTACACTACACCACACGACAACTACAGCTACATTGCACTACACTACGCTAATTACAGTAAAATACGTTACGACAACAACTACTACAACTACAACAACAACTACTACAACTACAACAACAACTACTACAACAACTACAACAACTACTACAACAACGACAACAACAACTACTACTACGACGACTACTACGACTACGACGACGACGACAAAGACGACGACGACTACTACTATTAGTACTATTACTACTACAACTACAACTACAACTACAAGAACAACGCTACACAACACAACACTACACTACACTACGCTAGCTACACTACACACCACACCACAACTGCAACCACACGAAGCTACACTAATTCACACATGCGACACTACACTGCACTAGACTAGACTAGTCTAGACTAGACTACAACTACAACTACAGCTACAGCTACAGCTACAGCTACACTACACTACACTGTACTAATTACACTACACTACGCTACGCTACCCTAAGCTACGCTATGCTACGCTACCCTACGCTACGCTACGCTACACACCACACCACAACTACACACCACAACTACAACCACACGACACTACACTACTTCACACACACTACACTACACTACCCTAGACTAGACTAGACTAGACTACAACTACAACTACAACTACTACTACACTACACTACTTGCACTACACTACAACTACAACTCCACTACACTACAACTACAACTGCACTACACCACACTTCCTATAGGTTTCCTATTTTTGAAACTTCCGCCACCGCCTTGTGCAGTACTACTGGTATATATTCATTTATTAACGTTACAAAATGTGTATCTACATATTAAAATATATACACACATACATACATATACAAATGGAATCTATATCCGTCAATAGCGCGGCAGAAGATATCAACACCCCAGTGTCCCCTTCTCCATTTTACGCCGAAACAAAAACCATACTATAGTGCACACACATATGTATATGCATCATATATATATATACATATATGGCCCCGGCGGCCGGCAACCCCCCCCTCTCACGACCCCACGGTATCCCCCCCCATATCCCCTCATGCTGGTGGCCTGGCCATAGACGACCATAATCGAACAACCGTCAAAATCTCATATGCTATACTTACATGCTGGCCTCGTGCCACCTATAGACTACCCACGTGATACTTCCATGCAGGGTTCACTGCCTCTATGTATACTGCCCATACAGTACCTTTCTAGTAGCCATGTACTAGCTATTATCAAAATCTCATATGCTATACATACGTGCTAGCCACGTACTCCCTACTGTATACACTATCTCCATGATACCTCTATAACACCCCACCCATCCCACATGGGGGGGCGTGGGGGTAACCTACATTCCACATCAATCTATTTCCATTTTACAACTTATTACTGCACATACAGTACCTTTATAATAGCCATATACTAGCAACTGTCAAGATTTCATATGCTATACATACGTGCTAGCCATGTGCTACCTATACGCTATCTACATGGTACCTCTACAACACCCCACCCATCCCACAGGGGGGCGCGGAGCATGCTAGCCACATACTATCTACTTTTTGCTTCACATGCTAGTGACACCTAGACCCCACCATCCCAGAGGGGGGTGGGGTGTGTAAAACTCTCTCCTACATACGGCCTTTACATACAGCCTACAGACAGAACCATGACCATGGCCTGGGGGGGTGGGGGTGGGGTTGCTGGCCTGGGCCATATATTATATACATATATAATATACATATATATCTATATATAATATAAATATAAATATACGTATATATATATATTACGAAAGCCAGCGTCAAGCTTGGCTTAAGTTGCTCTTTGCGAACGAAGTGAGAATAGGGGGTCCGGGGGGCGGTCGCTTCAAAACGGACCATTTTGAGGCACTTCCCCAACTGAATAGGGTGGCCTCCGTGGTCGATTTTGAGGCTGATGTACCAGGTGGCAATTGGGTGACGGTGGGGTTCGATTCCCCCCTGGTCCGTCCAGTGACGTGCATTAGAGGCACGGAAAAACGTGCATTGGGGGCGACGGGAATGGAGGGGGAAATGAAGCAAGAACGGAGTCTCACATGGTCCACTAGTGCAGCATCGGCTTTGCAGCTGCTTTGCAAACTATTGCTGTCTCGAACCATCGCTCCTTTTTGTTCATAAGTATTTTGTAGCCCTTGAGGTCGCCAAAACGGGTGTCTGATCCGAAAGCTTTGCAATCACATGTGTATAGCCATGTGTAGCCCACAGTTTTGCAGTATTGCGGCTTGCAACCAGACAGCATTTGATATCCACCGGACGGGATTCGATGTATTCCACCAGTTTACAACATAGTATCATATCATATCGTGTATAGATTACATATATATATATTTTATATGTATATGTATGCATCTATGTATATATGTCTACAAGATGTCAATATATTTTGGGGGGCACTAGATTTTGATACCGACAAACATACCGAAATGAAGTTGTTATTGTGATTCTCATAAATAATTTTGTTGTCATCCTGTAGTGGATCATGTTTAATTTCTCGGAGGTTATACATACCCAAAAGTGACCTCCACCTCCTCTTTTTGGGCAACTCATTACGCTTTTTGTCGGTCTTGAACGATGCTAAAAAATTCTAAACACTTTATAAAAAGTGTTGAGAATTGATTTGCGGCCTTGGATTCTGACTTTGAAACTCTGAGACATCGTCTCGTCATGGATTCTGACTAATAGAAGCTAGCAGATGAGGAACTTGATACACACTTGGATGAATCCACCATCTGCAGAATCTACTCGCACTGGTAATGTTTCTTACTTTTGCATGGCTCCCTCTTAGCTTACCTTCAGCAAAATCTATGGAACCCCATCATTGTCATACTTGATGGAAAGATTAGAAAATCCCATTGTTTCCTGTTCCTGTGGAGTGTCAGGTGTGCAGTGAAGAGCCAGGAATGTAAAATATAACTTGTACAGTATGAAATGTAGGGGTGTCGATTCTATAGTATAGACTGTAAAGTCTAACGTCGAACCAGTCCAGTGTGGAATGTAAAATGCCACATATGGAGTGTCAAGTATAGTATGTCAAGTCTCCTGCACATTCCTTCCCTCTCCCCACGGATTCCAAAACGGCACTCAATATAGCCTCGCACTGCCGCCTCCTCCACCAACCCCCGCCGAAATCCCTCCCATCCTTTCCACTCTCGTCTCCCCGTTCCAGCTAGTTCCTGGCTTTCGTCCCCTCTTCTCAGGTATATGATATACACATATATATATATAATATACATATGTATATATATATATATATATGTATATGTATATGTATATGTATATGTATATATATCTATATGTATATGTATATGTATATATATATATTCGAACCTACAAGTACAGGACTTTGAGCCACTTTTCACAATTTCTAAATCTGTGAGGCTTTGCCGGCCTCACCTGGGCGTGCAGAAGGTGCAAATTCATGTGATACATATTTCCTCCTGCCAGCGACAATGGCCACCTTAAACCTCATATTTTTGATGCGTAAATGATTCTTATCCCTCTATGAGTGAGACACTTGCAGAGAGTTTCCTTGATTTCTTTTTCCACCAGCTGCCAACGTCGCGGTTGCTTGAAAGGCTGCGTGTTATTTTTTGGTTTTCGTAGTGTGCATCCCCCTTTGAAGATAGCGCTGTGCAGCCGCGCCCTGTCACTCTTATTTGTGATTCAGCCGTGACAGGGCCAAAGATTGATTGGCCTGGATATCCATCTGCCAGCCATGTTGCAGCGCCGAAACAAGGTCGGCTTCTTTCTACCATAATCAGGGTGGAGAAGATGCTGGACTACTGCCCCAAAATTCGTAGATGTAAAAAACAGGAGGATGCCCACCAGCATGAGAATAACCTGTTTTGCACCCTTATCATTTGCGTTGCAGCAATAGCATGCCCAGCATGCTAGCGGTCAGAACGGAACATGCAGCACCTGCACGAACAGGTGCTGGGACTTTGAGGCCACATCCAGTCTTAGCCCCTGGAAGCGATTCCAAGCTCCAAAGCCACCGATGTTGGTCATTGTAGGTATCGAGCATTAGCCGCCCATGTGAATCCATCAGTATGGTCCATACAGCTTATATCAAATTGTCATATTCGGGACTGCAGCTTTTCAAGCAGATCCGGACAACGAACCTGCATAGTCCACCGGCTAAGGGCTCCTCTCAGTCCTTGCAACTTCCGAGCAAAGACTTGGAGGACAGCAAAGTTTGGAGCTCACTGCTGGTCATCACAGGGGGTAGTCGGTTACTCCACCTCTATGACCTATAAATACCTACAGCATGTGGTGGCACAGCCATGTCCCAGGCGGAGGATGATTCCACAAAGCTGGAACGCCCGGCGAAGGAGACAAGAGCACCATCGAAAACTTGTCTTGCAAACAAATATCAACTAATCTTCAGTCAAGGTCAAGGATACCCACCTAGTTCTGAGTTTATTGGTGCCTGAGTTCGCAGAGGGGAGGACCTGAAACTAGAATTGAGTACTCTAGGATCCTTCTGCTAAAAAATAGTTTGGTCATGTTTGGTCACCTCTTTACTTAGGCAAACTCCTTCAGTTTGCAGCTCCACGAGCCTCGGTCACTCTCCTTCCCAGGAACACCAGGAACTTGGAGGAGAAGCGACTCTCAGCTGAGTGCAGAATGACTTCGATTCACGACTGGTAGGTATGCCTGACTCTATTGTAATGGCTTTTTACGCAGTTTTTGATGGATCCAAACAGGGGGATGATGGCTGCTAGTTAATCTAGTTGCAACCACCCTTTTATATGAGGTTGTCACTGCGGCAGCTAATGTTTTCTTGCATCGTGGCACCTTTTTCTGATTCTTCAACAATGGCCCGATGCCATTTCGCCCCCTGCTGAATCTGCCAAGGGCCCTGAGCTTTGTGCTGCTGCCTGCGGCACCTGCCCTGTGGAAATTGGAGGGGAAGCGAGTGCTCCTGTTCCGTCCAGGTGCCGTGTGTTGATTTGCTGATCTTATGGGATCCTGTAGGATCCGATGGGATCCAAGGGGTCCTGTGAGGCAGCACCTTGGAGCCGCGAAGCTATGATTTGCATGGGGGTGCAATGGTAGCTGTAGCTGCAATCATTTGCGAGGGCTAAACTAGGTGGGCAACTAGGTGGGCGTAGAAGCCGACTGGGATCACGGAAACACAATGAGGTTATCAAATTGTTATCAACAGGCTTCTGGATCGCTGCAAAATTCATGGTGTATGAAAATGAATGGATCAGCCAAATGAATCACCCAAACACAACAGAACAGATCAGATGTCCAAGTTCGATGTTGGACCAAGCTCCCGAGGAAGTGAGCCCGACTGGAGGACCTTTCACAGTTGTAGACCGCTTGTGCCCTGGCTCGAATTTGGGGCTCTGATCTAAGTTTTGAATGAAACATTGATGAGATTTGATGAGGTTGCCAATGATGCGACACGCCGTGCTCCAGGCCTTTCACCAGACTCGAAATGTGTGGCAGCGAGACTTCACATTCCTGAATCTGTCAGCAGTGTGCTCTTCAAAATGAGTTTTCCAACAAGACCACTATAGACGAAAGACTCTAGTTAAATGATTTGAATGTCAATTTGGGACGTGGAGGGGTATCTGATTCTAAAACGCTAATTTCCCAACATTATATACTACAACGTCATCGTTTAGAGCTTATTTCCTTTCTCGAATTTCACCAAACCTTTGGGAGGCCCAAAGCCTGTGCATTTGGTTGCATGGCCGCCGCGGCAGTGGTAAAAGCCGGCTCATGTGGGGTTCTTTGCAAGACACAAGGACTACAGCAGCGTTGAGCTGTGAATTTTTACACCAGGCTAATTGTCAGCCGTTTGCCCAATTTGCTCCACCTGAATCTGTAAATGCATGTCATCAAATATCCAAGAAGTCTACTAGTTTAGTAAATCGAGAGAGCTTGGAAATCCAAAGCAGTGAACGTCAAGAGTGGAGAGTGGCTGCCAGCGATCACAGGCTGGAGCATCCTGGAGTGGCACAAGTGCTGGCAGATGGCTTGTTTCACACTTTGAAGGACTCGAGCTACAGCAGCTACTCGACTCGAGTAGCTCGACTGGATCCGGACTTGACGGTGATCCAAGTGGATCCAATTGGCTGTCAGGAGCTTGAACTGCTTCCAATACGAGAGGGAGATGACAAGGTCCTGGTCACACTTCAGCTGCTTGTCAGAATGGTATATATGGTATCCTGAAGCAAAGATTAGAAGCAAAAGGCATCATTATTCATTTGTGGAAAACCCGGAAAAGGCCTAGTTTGAAGCGAAACCATTGCCTGTTCATCTTGGGAGTACTGTAAGCATGCCAATTTGTCTCTGAGAGATCGCTACCCTTTGTCGTTGGCATTGGAAACATCAAGCAAAGTGCGAGTTTGACCACAAGACTGGCTGAATTCAGTGATGGAAATTCAGAACACATCATGCGCGCCCCATCATCAACTGCTCAAGATGCAACCGGTGGACCGACCAAACTGTCTGCAAACTTGTTCAATCCTTGCAATCCTTGCACCGATGGTAAGAGAATCGCTTGTCCCATGTTGTCCCTGTATGGAACCACCGGATGTTAATTGAAACTTGACCCCATCAGCTTCTAGGCCGAAACAGGCAACAGCCTAATTGTGGAGGTGGGAGAGCAGTCCCTATAAGTTTGGAAGTGGCTTTCACCAGTAGCGTCATTCCCCTGGTTAGATCCTGGGCACCATGTCTGCGAACACCGCCGACATTGATGTGAGCAATCCGGAGCAGGCGCTTGATCTGGGAAACATCCGCCGACTGTTGCAGAGAATGGAAGACTCCATTATTTTCAGCCTCATTGAGCGTGCCCAATATCGAAGTAATGCTGCAGTCTACGAGCCACACCATGGGCAGCTTGGGAAGTTTAGGCTACATCAGTTGCTGTCAGTCGGTTCCACCGGCTGCCTGGGAGATTGGTTCATCTATCAGACAGAGTGCTTGCATTCGCAAGTGCGACGCTATGATCACCCCACGGAGTTTTCGTTTTTCGAGCCTTTGCCAGAGCCCCTGCTTGCGAAGAGTGATCAAAGAGAGCAAGTATTAGCCCCTGTTCCTGCCAATGCTCGGGTAAACAAGAGGTTGCTAGAGCTCTATCGTTCGATGATGATCCCATCCATTTGTGAGGATGGGGATGATGGGAACTATGGTTCCACAGCTGTACAGGATGTGCATGTCTTACAGACGATGTCTACCCGGATCTACTACGGTCTGTTTGTGGCAGAATCGAAGTTTCGCAGTGAGAGGGCCACGGCTGAGGCTTTAATCAAGGACCGCGATACTGAAGGTCTGATGGCCTTCATCACCAAGCCTGAAGTGGAAGCACGCAACGTCCAGCGAGTAATTTTGAAGGCTAAGACCTTTTCACAGAACATCGCCAACCAAGCGAAAGCTGCAGACGAGAGCAATCCGATCTACAAGGTGAATCCAGAGCATGTGGGAGCTCTGTTTCGGGATTACATCATGCCCTTGACGAAGGATGTGGAGGTGGCGTACCTCCTTGCTAGACTGGAGAAAGTAGAGACGGGGCCTGGTGGGAGATTGTCTTCTGATGAGCTCAACCTGGACTGGGTGAATTCCATAGCTGTGAAGCGGGCCCGCATCAAATAGATTTTCAACTTTGTCATGGCGAGAAAAATAATCACTGTGAGGGGCATGAGGCTTCTGATTCTGGTTGGGTCGAAGGTCAAAAGTGGAAGGAATGAGAGGAGGCATTTGTAGCAACCATTTCTGTCATGAACTGTTCACAACTCTGAACGACCACAATACAGCACAGGGTAGATGAGGGTAGAATGTTGCAACATGCGACTGCATTGTGCGGGAGTGGCGACTTGCCACTGACATTTGCTACCCAAGGTTTCTTAAATTTGGGGTTGAAACCGAGCTGTGCGGAGATTGCCTGGTCGGTCCAGACTTTGCGCCTTGGATGTGCAGTTGGTACACAGTAGACATAGTTTGACCAAGTTTCAGGAGGAGGTATTGCTTGTATTGCTGTGTGCATCCCATCAAAGCTCTAGGACCCACACCTCAAGCCGCGAGAAGCTTTGCTGGGCAACGGCTTTTTCATGGATGGTGCACCAGAACGAGAAGTGAGGCAATTGCAAATTCTGGTCAAGACTGCTTGATCATTTTCTTCTGACAGAAACTAGATGCACGTTTGAAGGTGGGCATTCAGAAGTCTGTGCCAAGTCTCAAATGCATTTTCTTTTTTATGGACAATGACCATCATTGGATACAGGCAACTCTCTGAGCTCCAGCTGGCCTTGCAGCGTGGTGTTGATAGATTGCGCCAAGTGGGCACCTTCCAGAGTGGAACTTGCAGAAAGGAGGATGCCATGGCACATGGACTTTGCACGTGGATGCCCAAGATTCCGCTTGGATCCATGTTTCTCCCTGGCACTTCGTTTTGGAAGATACCCCCTTCATCAAGCAGTGCACACCAAGGTTCAGGATCCGGCGGCGAGTGGGATCCGAAGTGACTTGGCGCAATTACAGGTGTTGGTTATGGAAGGAGTGAAGAGGATTCAAGGCTCATACGTTGTTCTTTCATTCTTTAATGTTTTTCTTTAATATATGCTTTAATATTGTACAGATATTTCATGACACGATCCCATTGCCGCTGAAGACACGATGAGTTGTGGGGCATGACGTTTGCATGCATATGTGGAACCACCTGATCTTCAGGTGCATACCAGCACCATCCACTTGCTAGACTTGGTGGGGGCGCAGATGTCGGCAGATGCCAAGACGAAGAAACGGACCTCTCAGGACAAGATTGTGCCAGCGGATTCAGTTGGGGATGGGTCAGGCAAATTTGCGGACTGGCAGCAGTTGAGACACAACGCTGAACCGCCGTCGCTCAAGTCTGATGAGTTTTCTAGCTTTTGTTGGCCAATTGGTTGGCATCGCCCGGGAAGCTCAGAGTACCAACCTGTGGGGACTAGCTTGTCCTTTCCACTGTGGCACCTCTTCACTGCCCAGCCTCTTTTTGGCATTTCTTCTTGGACTTGTCCTTGGAATTTCCATCACTGCTCCCGCCTGTTTTTGGATTTTGCATTGTCCCCTTGCATCACCTGCTTCCTCTCCTCCCATTGTCATAGCTGCCCGATCAGCAGCCTACCGTGCTCAGCGGCGACTTGAGGGCTATAGGCCCTCCACACATGAGTGACCACGATCCTGCTGTCCAAGAGCTCACTAGGGCTATCAATCGCCTTACTCTGGCTATTGAAGGGGCAGCTGCACGTTCTGCACCTTGGGAGTTGGTTGAGGAGGAGGAGGAAACAGTCCGGAGACCTACAAGTGGGCAGAGGGGAACATCATCCCAGGAGCAGTCGCTGCCGGGGGTTGAGCAAGGTGATTATAACGCTCTGGCTGAGCGTATCCCTCCTTTGCCTGCTCGAGTGCTTCAGACAGGCAACAGGCTACGAGGAGGACAGTACTCAGAGGAGTATCGCCTTCGCAGGGCTTGGGAAGCAGGTTTTTGGGCCGCTGCAGTCCTTCGAGGGGAAATTCCAGTTCCAAGAGCAAGCTTGCCTATCGACTTGCGGCCAACGGTGTACATCATCCTCAAGGCCCCAGGCCTATCGGCACCCACCAGAGTGGGCAGTGCTTCAGATCTCTTCAGAATCACTGGAAAATTTGGCAATTCTACCCTTTGCCACGGCTTCCCATCACTTGCAGAGGCTGAAGCCTATTGCACGGCGGCAGGCATCACATTGCCATGTCAGCACAGATGGAGCTAGATTTGAGCGTGGAGGCAGATACCGGGGAGCCTTGCAGGATTCTTTTTCTATGGCCCCCAGAATCAGATCCAGTACAGCATCAAGTTCAAGCTTTTGTGGTTATGAGACGCCAGGGAGGCGTACTATTAGCTCTTCCAGATACGGCAGTGGACGAAGTTTCTTTGCTGGAGTATGCACAGCCAGTGCGTCCCGGGGTGGAAGCCATGGTTGGGCCAGTCACCATCTTCAGCGTTCCTATGGAGGCTCCCTCAGATCTTGGAGTTTTCGAGGCCACTGGAACTTCGTCAAATGTTTTGGTGGTGGACGTCAATGTAGAGCAGATGGATGGGCTTCTTCTTCCTTTTCCCACAGATCCCACAGCTCAGTTGGATATCAGTCATTTTGCAGCAGGAGACCCAGACATTCGACCAGTTTTCTCCGCCTTGATGACACAGGTCAGAAGCTGGGTAGATGGAGAGACGGAGGAGCGCATAGCTTTTTACTCTGCTCACGAGGAGGAGGAAGGACCAGATGCCCAGGAGCCCACACCAAAACAGAGGGCAAGACCAAAGCTTTCTTTTCCTTCTTCTACCGCGCCCGGAAGAGCCACAGCACCTGGAAAAGCACAGCCAAAGAGGCCTACAGTTGCAACGCTGGCCGGTCAGATGGAAGTTATTTTGGCTTCCCTGCCCAAGATCACCGATCAACTGGCAGCCCTTACAAGTCGCCAGAACGAGATGGAGGCGGCGCAGAGACAGCAGGCACCGAACCCTATTGGCCATGGTTTTCATGCAGTGGCCCCGCACAAAGCGGCAGCTCCGGTGTCTGCTCTTTTGAACCAAACAGACAGGGCAGTTGGCCTAGCAGGGTTGGGCCGTTTGGTGGGCCCCCCTCCTCCAGTTCGCCAGACTGCAGCTCCTTCAGGTTTGCTTCAGCCAAATCAGAAATTGGAGGAGGACGAGCCCCAGGACCCTTTTGTTCCAGCGGAGGAGAAGGAGCTTGGCTCCCCCATGGCTCAGGCCTTGCTAGAGCAGAGCAAGGCGTTGCAGACGCTGATGGCCCATTTTCATGCTACAAGCTCAGACCCCATGTCAGACCTTTCTTCAAGCACACCCACCACGGGAATCAAGGGCACTGTGGCCCGAGAAAAACTTCAGCGAGAGCTTGCGGCTGGCAATGGGCAGTTTTACCTGAAGGTTTGTCAAGCAATTCAGCGCAGGATGTCTCCAACTTCAAGATTGGCTTCTCAACTCTCCGAAGTGCAAGATGTGTCACTGCTGGCGTACCTCGAGCGCTATGGGGGGTACGGTCAGCAGAGAGAGCTTGGAATGGTGCAGTGGTCGCTCGCTCACGCCTTCGATGCCGCGGCAAAGGGCGAATGGGGCCTCGTGGTGGACCATATAGCCCTCACCTCGGTGATGGTCGAGCAGGCGGCCCTGGACAACAACAAGTGGCACCTGGCTTGGCTTCTGAGGCTTCTAGACGACCCTCCTCAGAACCTTTGGTTGTCCAGAGGCCAGACAGCAACTGGGGCCCGGAGGCCTTTTGCCCCGTTATGCGCCCAAGCATGGACCACGACGGCATTGGCATACATGAAAGAAGCCGAGGTGTTGACCAACAAGCGCACGGAGCTCTTGAACAACCCAAAGGCATCCTCTTCATCAGGGGATCCGCCAGCCCCCAAGAACGCACCCAAAAGAAGGCCAGGTCGAGGAAAGGGGAATCCAGGTCCCAATGTTCAGACCGACCAGGAAGGCACATGAGCTGCGAGACTGTGGGGTTGTCTGGTGCGGGTTCAAGTCCAAGTGACCGCTGTTACTCCAATCCGGTAACCTCCCAGTCTCCCAGCTCGTGGGTTGTGGACCTTGAGAAGAGCAGTGTGTCAGATGTTGGTGGTGCTCAAGAATCAGACAGTATGAGCCCAGGCCGGGACAAGGGGATTTTGCGTTGTCAACAGTTTGAAGTTTTGACTCCGCCTCCTCGCCAGCAACGACAGCACAGTTCCTTGAAGAGCCGCACATGTGCTCGACAAGGAGAACAAGAATTTGGTAAAGAAGCTGCAGACACAGTTCCAGAGAGGGTAGATACTTTAGGTTTTTCCTTCTCGTTTGCAACTTGGTGCATGTCAATTACCAGGTGGAGTCTCAGATCGCGTACAGCCTTTGGATTTTATCTGGCTCAGACACTCAGCCTTTCCAGGGATGGGCCTTTGGCCCCTCCTACCGCCCTGCTCCCATTGCCGCTGCCTGTTGAGCACCCTTTTGCAGTGGGCCCTGGAACTCCAAGGCGCACAGCCAGAGAAGTTGCACTTGACAGAGGGCTTCATGTCATCATCTGTGCATTGAATTTCATGTACTGGTCAAGAGCATTTCCCCCTTTGGAGCTTATCAGGAGGCAGCCGAACCTTGTTCAAAAGAGAGCCATTCACCGGCTCAGGCTGCTTTTAGAGGCGTGTGACCGGGAGGAGCCCATCAAAGTGGCAGCTTCAGGTCGAAAGAATTTGCAGCTGATGGCCCGCCTCCAAGAGCTGGCATCGGCCGCAGACAGCCTTGGCCTGTCTTCCAGGCCGTATGGTGAGCAGGCTAGTGGGTTGCCTGTGAAGCCTGACAATTCAGCTTTTCCTCAGTTGATGCCTTTTTCAAATTTGAGGCCCGACCGTCTCAAACTCAGTGGAAGGGGCCAGTGGGACCCTACTCATTTTTTGGATCCAGAGCTCTACATGGCCTTTCAAGAGCCGCAGGTTTTGGAGCTGTCTCATCCCGTTTTTGAGAGGGGTGTTCCAAATTTTGAGGTAGACAAAAAGGAGACGGTTTTACAACTTTTTCGCAGATGGGATGAGCTAGGACTTCTGGCGCTGCACCCCAAGTCCTCCATCACCACAGGTGAGTCGGGGCGCGTCAAGATCTTCAATGCCTACAAGGATCCACAATATGACAGACAGATTGGGGATCGAAGAGAACGCAATGCTTGGGAGGCGAGGCTGCCAGGCCCTTCGAAGTCCCTCCCAGTCGGTCCTCTCATTGGGCGTCTTTGCGTTCCTCGAGATTGTGGCTTGAAGGTTTGCATTACGGACAGGTCAGACTATTACCATCAGCTGGGCACCAGTTTTGAGCGCAGCAGAAGCAACATTGTTTGGCCCCCTATGCAGCTTAAAGACTTTGTGCAGTTCAAGGCATACCAGCACTACACAGAGAGGGCAAAGGCGCAGAGACACAAGGTTGATCGCACTGTCCATGGGGACGATCTGGCCGGCCACCGGCAGGATTTCTTCCCAACGACCTTGGATGCCCCAGTCTATGGTGCTTTCACTGCCATTCTTCAAGGTGATCATCTTGGAGTCGAGTTTGGAATTTCTGCGCATGTTGGCTTGTTGCAAAGTGCGGGTTTGCTTCAAGATGCTGGAAGGTTGCTGACCGACCGTCTTATCAGGCCTAGCCCTGTCTATCAAGGATTGTGCATTGATGATTATTTTTGCATTGCCCTTGTTGACATTGGCGCTTTGTCAAGCGGGCCTGAGGGGATGCCCAGCCCTGCAAAGAAGGCTTTTTTGAAGGCAAAGGAAACCTACAGCAAATTTGGGCTGGACGGCTCCGACCACAAGGATGTGATTGACCAAACATTGGCCACAGTTGTCGGTGCGGAGATTGATTCAAGACCCTGCGTGGTGGAGCAGGGATGCCTGCCGGTTGCAGCACCAGCAGCCAAACGTTTGTCTCTGTCTTGGATAGCAGCGACAGCAAGCAGGTATCCCTGTACTACAGATGCGCTGCACTCTTCACTTCTTGGAGGTTTGGTTTCAGCTTTTTGCTTTCGCAAATGTGGCATGGCAGTCTTCAATGAGCTTTTCAAGATCATCCCTCCTGCAGAACTAGACCCAGAGCGTCCCGTCTTGCGCTCTTTGCCCAGAGCAGCAGCAGAGGAACTTATTCTTTCTGCAGTGCTTTTGCCTATCATGTCCACGGATGTCAAGGCTCCGCTGGCTTCATGGATTTTTGCATCGGATGCTTCCAACCACAAGGGAGCTTTTGTTTCTGCAGAAATTCCAGAAGACATTGCGCTTCCCCTCTGGCAAGCTGGAGATTTTAAGGGTGGCTACACTATGTTGGAGCCGTGGCCGAAGGATGTGTTGAAGGCAGCCGAGGATTTTGATGAGGAAGATTGGCAGGCCTTGCAGAATAGCGCAGAAGCAGAAGGGGGCTTTTTGCCTCGATGTTGCAATCCTGGCGAACAGGTCTCAGCTCAGAGGCCGCTAGCTCAGTACTATGACTTCATTGAGGTCTGCGGAGGCTCTGGAGTTGTTTCGGAGCAGGTTGCAGCAATGGGCTTCGTAGTTGGACCAATCTTTGACATCACTTTTTCGCAGCATTACAACCTTTTGGATTTGCGTGCAATTGAGTGGCTTCTTTTCATGGTTCAGAATCGTAGAGTGAAGGCTGTAGCACTTGAACCTCCTTGTACAACTTTTTCCCCAGCAGCATACCCTCCTTGCAGAAGCTACACGCAGCCGCGTGGTTTCAACCAGAAGAGCCAGAAGGTATGGGTTGGCAACAAGCTCGCATTTGCATGCTTTACCATTTTCCTTGCCTGTATTCATGCTCTTGTGGTTGCTTTGATAGAGGCCCCGAGACGGTCCAAGATGGCATGGCTGGAGGAGTGGAAGAGGCTTCTGAGGTATGAAAATGTGGAGGAGGCGTTTACAGCCTCTTGTTCATTTGGCAGTGTTCACCAGAAGGAGTTCAGATTTTTGACATGCAACATGCTCCCTCACTCCATTTGCCGTCCTTGCACAAGAGACCACTCTCATGTCAAGATTGAGGGCCAGTACACGAAGGGCTCGGCAGTTTACTGCCCAGGTTTGGCAAAGGCGTTGGCAGAGCTTTTTGCCAAGCACATACGAGCTTTGGATGGCTACGTGCGGCAGCATAGTTTGGATTTTTCAGGGCTTGAGAGCGTCTTTGTCAATGAGGTCATGAAAGTTTCAAGTTGGAAGTTGGGAGCAGTTTGGCGGTGGAATGGCGTTTCTCACATCAATGTGTTGGAGTTGACCAGCGCCTTGAAAGCAGTAAAGGAGGCAGCCCTCAGAGGTGGAGGAAAGGTTCTTCTCCTTTTGGATTCCAATGTTTGCGTGCGAGCACTTGCCAAAGGGAGATCATCCTCAAGAGCGCTTCTTTTTCTTTTGCGAAAGGTGGCAGTCATTTCACTCTGCTTTGGAATCTACCTCTCAGTTCATTTCTGCCCTACCAGACTCAACATTGCAGATGATCCCACGAGGGATACTCCCCTTCGATCTCAGAAGACATCGCCCTCTTGCCTCTCATCCCTTGACCTTGAAGGGCTGTTCAGGCTTGCAGAGTTGCCTCGGCTGCGTCGTTGGATTTCCAATTGGACTTCTCTCTTCCTTGGACTTTGCTGCAAATACCACGTGCCATGTGGAGCCCTATCCATCCATCATCCACGCCTCCGCTCATCCTCCCCACCAGTGGATTTCTATCGTCATCTCTTGGATTTTGACTCCACTCTGGGTTTTCCGGGCGAGGGGCCAGTAGTTAGATGGATTTTGTTTTTAGCTCTGGTAGTGGTAGATTTCAGCCATGGCATGCTCCCGCGCAATCGTCAGGATGAGGCAAGAGCTGCTAGTCGCAGCCTGAAGCCTCTCCAAACTGGCAGACCGGTCCAACAGGTTACCAGGACGAACCGTGAAAAGCTGCTGGAGACTTTTGCATCTTGGGTTGGTGAAAGGGGTGGAGACCTGTCATTTTTGCTGTCAAACTCTTATCTCAACCCAGAAGTTTTGGTGCAATGGTTAGTGCTTTATGGGAAGGAGCTTTACACCTCAGGGCGTCCATACTCACATTTTTCGGAAACGATCAACGCTGTGGCAGCTGCAAAGCCTAGCATTAGGCGGCTCCTCACAGGGGCATGGGATGTGGCTTTCTGGTGGGTCAAAGAGGAACCCAGCGAGCATCACACGGCTTGCCCATTTCAGATTTTACTTGCGCTTCTGAGTACGGCAATTCTTTGGGGTTGGCCGTTGGTTGCGGGGGCCATAGCTCTGTCTTGGGGAGCAGTTTGCCGGATCGGTGAGGTTATGCATGCCATTCGCGATGATCTGGTTTTGCCGCAGGATGTGTTGTTTTCAAACATGTCAGTGTACCTCAAGGTCAAGGAGCCAAAGACTCGCTACAAGGCTGCAAGACATCAAATGTCAAAGCTTGACTATCAAGATCTTGTGGAGCTTGTTGCTTGCGTTTTTGGAAGTTTGAAAGGTGACAGCAGGCTTTGGCCTTTTTCCCCACAGCTGTTGCGTACCAGGTTCAAGCAACTCCTGAAAGCAGTAGGGCTTCCAACAGATAGGCAAGGCCAGGAGCGTGCCCTTGACCTTGGAAGCCTTAGAGCAGGTGGCGCAACACACCTTCTTATGATCACAGAAGATGCAGAGCTGGTCAGACGTAGGGGCCGTTGGTTGGCACCTAGGACTATGGAGATCTACATTCAAGAGATTTCATCCACGGTCTTCTTTCCACGTTTGCCCAGGAAAGTGAAAGACAGAGTCATGGAGCTGGCATTGTCTTTTCCTGCGCTGTTAGAGCGTTTGAAGGTGTTCACTGCAGCTGCAATTCCTGCTTCAGCTTGGTTTGTTTTGATTCAGACGAACTCAGATGGAACGGATGGGTCAAATAAACCTGGGGAAGGCCTTGCACAAAGAGGTGCACAAGGCATGAGAGCGAAAACTGCATGGAAGGCTGAGAAAAAGGCAGTGGAGCAACTGGCAGCAGTTGAGACACAACGCTGAACCGCCGTCGCTCAAGTCTGCCCAAACCCACCCCCCCGGGTCAAATAAACCTGGGGAAGGCCTTGCACAAAGAGGTGCACAAGGCATGAGAGCGAAAACTGCATGGAAGGCTGAGAAAAAGGCAGTGGAGCAACTATATAGAGGGGCTTGCAGATTTCGGCAGCTTGCTTTAGCAGAAGCTATGCCATTTTAAGGGATAGCACAATTTTCATTTCTCTCCATGCATTCGCACTGTTTGTCCACGCTGACCGTTGTGTCCTGTGGCGTCTTGCAAGGAGGACCGGACACTGAAGGCAATGCTGAGAGTAGTTGATGCCTTGGCAGAGGATCCAGAATACAAATTCAGAAACTCAGCCTATTCAGTTGATCCATCATGCAATTGCTCGTGCACAATCACTCTGTTCCATCATCTTCCTTGACTTTCAAATTGACCTTGTAAGTTGAGGGTTGGAGTTCCTTTGCAACGCATTTAAGGAGATGGTCACACGGCGCCGCGACACATCCCGCACAGAGACTCCAAGGTCACCCGGCTTCTGCGGCCCTGTTTGGGTGGGTCACTTGGCATCAGAGAACAACTTGTCGCAGCCGCAGACACTGGGTCAGTAGGCAAGGGGAAGAGTTGCGCATTCTGCCGTCCAGACACACGTTGAAGCGACAGGATTTTGTTTCCCATTCCGAACGGACCTCCTGACCTCAGCATCCCTGCAGCATCCAATAGCGAGGTCTGGCCGTTCCGTGCTGCTGAGTTTTGCAGAGGGTCACGATGCCATTCTGGCGGAGCTGGAGCTGGCAACGAGACATGAGGGCATGACCAGCGATGGAGTGCAGAGCTGCATGTGGCGCAGGGATGGGAAATTTCAGCGAGTTTCATGGGTGGTTGGGAGGTCAATGTGTCAATGGCACACTGAATGTCCGTTGGCAGATGTTGGAAGTGAGGGCGAAAGGTACCTTGATGACAGGGTGAAGGAGCTTGAAATGTCGGTTTTGAAAAACAGATATAGTCTGCGATCTCTGAATTCTGAATCAGTTCCCTCGCATTGCCAGATTTGACCGCGAGAGCAAGATGAAGGAGATTGAAGATGAGGCACGCTAGCAGTCGTTCGGGCCAAGCTATGCAGTTCTGTCATTCACTATTTTCAAAGTCGACATTTGGAAAGGGATCCCAATCTGGGAGAGAGCCAACTCCAGTGGCTTGGCAGGTGGCCGCCCTATGCCGAAAGCTGGGCATAGTGCAGCCGCAGGATATGCAGTTGACCATGGACGCGTGGGGGGCCTTGGACTCGTTGTACTCACAGGTGTAGGAGGGTCTTTTCTGCTGGATGCGGCTGTCCAGCTTGCGTAAGTGTGGGCTTGGAGGGGTTGGAGACCTTACAAAGATGACCCAACAAACTGAAAGAGGCTCAAGGAAAAATGATCAAAATGAACACAGTAGATCTCAGAGAGGGGCACCTCCAAGGTCCACACGGCCACGGCCCAGGTCCAATGAAGAGGTTCGTTTAGCAGAGCTGCTTCAGCTGCGTCGTCGGGTGCTGAACTTTGAAGATTGGCGGCAAATTCGACAGGTCACACGGCTGGGTCTGCTGGATCTGAGTTCTGGAAAACTGTGAAAACCTATGTGAAGTCCTTGAGGTTTTTAGAAGACACTCGATGGACTCCTGCATTCGTTTGCAGATAGTGCAGGGGTTGTTTGAATTTTCCTTAGGGATTTTCAACACTTATGCAAGTCGCTTATTCTACAGAGTAAAAAGTTATAATAATATGTTATAATCTATAATTACATCAATCCCAGAACAATGGGTCAAGGCTTTTGTTCCAGCACCATGGCAGGGTGGGCTAAGCTTCCACAAGAAGCGAAACGAAGGCTGCTCTTGGATGAGTTTGTTGTTTTTGGGCAGTTTTGCTTTCCTGCAAAGATGGATGTCAATGGGAAATCGCCAATTTTGAAGAATATGATCTATACATCTATGCATGGCGATAAATGAAGATGATCGGGGATTTCCAATGCCAGAAGATGTTTACTGCAGACAGAGGCCGACTGATAGAGGTTTCAGCAGTTCCTAGCAGGGTCAGAATTTTCGGAGCCATCCCCTTTCGCCATTTACTTCATTTGGATCTTGGGAGCCAAGGAATGTGAAGGAAGTTGATTTGCAAAAGCTGCAAGTGGAACGACGTCGCAATGTTTAATTTGAAGCATAGTATTTCTGCCATGACTTCTACGGCAAGCATGTGGGAAGGACTCAATACAATTCCTTTCAGTGTCGTGGGGGTCTTGAGACTGGCTTGGCGAATAAATACAAGCTATGGCACTGAATCATTTGAGTGGCAGATTCCCAGTTTGGAGTTTCCTGACTTGAAAATCGCTCTCCATCGTGGTTTTTTGCTTGCGAGGCGACAAGCAAACTGCTGCTGGACGGAAAAGTGAGGCTAGCTGATGCTCAGGGACACTGAAGCCTGAAGCATTGATGACTTCATGATGGCACCCAACACATTCAGCAGATGAGAGAGTGTATTTGTGGTTTATGATGGTTTATGTTTGGGTGTCTCCAATTTCGAGAGCGTGCCAGATGCGGACAATAGATTCAATAGATATCCATAGATTAATAGATTATCATTAATTATCATCCTCAAAGTGCGGTGGGTCAGGGAAACTCTTTGCACGTCGAGATTGCCAGGAATCACTGTTACTGGTGAAGCGATATTGCTGTCATCCAGATTTGCGATTTTGCTGTGGCTTCTTATGTGCTTGCTATATCTTGATACCAAGTCAAGCCTTTGAATCTGGGAAAACACACACACACAGCCTCTACATGCTCAGTGAGAGAAGTCTTCTTCGTGCATCGCTTGGAATGGATTTCCCTCCTGGTTTCGGCCCAAATAGAGCATAGCCTCTCAGTAGTCTTCCTTGGTCGTTGCACGTCTTTTTCCCAAGTATGTGGCGCGCTGCAAGCGACTCAGCTGCAGTTCTAAAGGACAAAAACCACATGTAAACTACGAGACATATAATAGGATACATCAACGTTTCCCGACGCCCTGTTTGAGCTGCATGAGTTCTTTAGTAGGCAACTTGTGAGGATGGGCCGCTACCATTTCAAGCACAGGGAAACGTCATGAGATCGTCCAAGCCTGTGCCCTGCTCAAGGAGGAAATTCTACCCGAGCAGCCAGCCGGCTGTGGCAGCAAGGTTCTAGTCGTGACTATTCAGGTGCATTGGTGGTGAGTTGAACTTTGGCCGAACATCCCAGTCTGAAGCCCATGGACAAAAAAAACTCAGTGAATCTATAGGTCAAAAATGATGGTTGTGGCTACCTGTCGGAGGTCATCTAGCTCCTTCTGCCGGGCACGTTAAAGAAACCACCCTACACTGCCACATGTTGACAAGCTCCCTTTTAACCCTTCAAAGCCAAAGTCCTTGAGACAAAAGCACCTGTCACACGTGCATGCTAATGCTTTCACCTGCCTGTTGGACAGGTGTCATTGTGGGTGGCGGTGTTACCGGCTGTGCCATGCTCTACAATCTTGCCAAGCAAGGGGTGAAGTGTGTCCTTTTCGAGAAGGTGTCGCGCAAGTTGTTGGGCAAAAATTGGATACATCGAAAATTGAATGGTCAAATGCGAAGCAGTAGTGCATAGTCTCAGAATCTGATGGGTTTGAAAACTTTTGACCGAAACTTACAGTCCAAATTGGATTGGAGGCATGTCCAAAAAGTTCAACAAGAGTAGAGTGAAATGACGAGTGGGACCGTGCGACCACCAAAAACGATTGGACATCCACCAGGGTGAGCTAACCTGCGGTGCCACATGGCACGCGGCTGGTTTGGTCACGCGCTTCCATGGTGGCAACAACTTCCGGCTCTGGCATGATGAGGCTTGAGGATTGATCCCTTCAGTCGCGAAGCATGAACAATGGCGTGGGCTAGAAATCTAATCCCCAGAATTGGTTCAAAGGAAAGATTGCAGGAAACCTCCAAATTTGATTGGGAAAAACACTGGTTTCCAGATGGTCCCTTCCAAAAATCCAGTGATCAACTGTTCTACTTTTGTGCTATCCGGTGGCAACACCTGTGAAACTGCGGATGCCAGGGTGTGAACCTTTTCACCAAGTGGCAGTCAGAAGGCCAGGGAGGAGAGAGACGAGATTTGGGGCTGCCTGTGCCTGGTTGCTTATACTTACAATTGTAAGTTTGTAATTGGGACATGTCTCAAAATTGGACCCCCCCCGCCTTGAGTTGTTTTCCCTTTTTGGATGGCTGAGTTATGTATATATATATATATACACAATACATATAATATATTATACATAATATATATATAATGCGTTCAGACGCAATCGATATCAGACGTCGATGCGGTCAGATGTCTCAGACCGAGACCTATGGGATCTCCTGGATGGAGTTTGTCCTGATGCTCCAGCTTCCGAAGTCCCTGGTGATGAAGAAGACAACGGCGAGGCAGCGGAGTCGGAGTCAGAGATCACTGATGGCAGCTACTCCGTGATGAGCTCTACGGAGGACATGCCGCCAAATGACCCGAAGCTGTTCTTCGACGAGGTCTACGACGTCTGACGTCTGACAGGGCAAAGGTTTTTTTTTAGGATTTAGGGCCTTGAAATGGGCCGCGGGATTCTTCTCAGGTTGCCGTGGCACGGCAAGGGGGAGTGTGGAAGGTAAAACACCTTTTAACACTGGAACTGAGAAGTGTAACAAGTTTTTCCTGTGCAGATTAGCATAGCCACCTGCTAGGATGACTCTTAGCATGGTTGTCGCAAGGATGATGCGCACAAACCGCTGCGTACTTCGCTGCATTGGTTCAAGAAAAAGCCCTGCCGCTGTAGGCGGCGCCCGTACTTGCTCAGGTTATGAGCCCAAGAGCCTGTGCGCAATGGCGATGTCGACTTTGAGGCGATCAAACTCGAGGACTGGAGATGGTGGACCTGGTGAAGAGGCGCAACATGAAGATAGAGCCCGTGGTCCTGATCGTCTTGGTCGTGGTGGGTGAACCGGAGGTGGTGGAGAAAATAGTAGAAGTGGTGGTCTCGAGATTGGGGTGGCTGATCGTCGGTTGGATGCCTTGATCGAGGAGGATCGGACAGCGATGTCTGTTCCGGTTCGACCTGGAGTGCGGCGCTTGGAACTGGATGGTGTCCGAGCCCAACAACCTTCGGGATCTTCGATGGCTGGCCGAGGAGATGGCGCACAACCTCGACAAGAGGCTTTGAGTGGGGTACCGGATTTGTTGAGAGATCCGAGGGCAGGAAACCTGGGACTTGGACAGCTGCAGGATGCTGTGCGGCAGTCTTTTGAGGTCCTTCGTCACGCTCTTGGGCAACAACAATTTCTTGGACCGCCTCAAGCTCTTGGTCCGCCTCCTCCAGTACATGGACTACTAGCTCCACTTGCACAAGGGCTTGATCGAGGAAATCAAGGTGGCAGTGTTCCTAGAGATAGAGGGGAAAGATTGCTCTTGCAGAACCCACTAGAAGCTCGGAGTGAACGTCGTGCTGAAGATCGACTTTCAGAAGTTCAAAGAGGCGACGGAAGTGTGCGTCGTGAACATAGTGGCCGAGGTGGAGATCGAGGAACGGCCCAATCTGGATGGCTTTAAGGTGTCGCTCCCAGAGTCCTAGACCCTTATACCCCTCCTGGTCAAAATCCATTCTGGAGTGAAGGTGTCCGCAATGCTTCATTTGGTCGGGGTGACACTGGTGGCAAAGGTGGTGGTGCTTATGCGGAACCTACAGACATGGACATTGAAAAGATCAAGGCCACATGCATGCGAGATGCTGAAGAGGCTTTTTCCAAGGAGTTGAGAAGGCTTGGGGTGGTGGTGGAAGGCGAGTCAGAATCTTACCATACAGCCTCTAGTCGAAAAGAAGCGTCACGTGGTGAAGGACAACGTGGTGCAGTTCCCGGTGGTTCAGGTGGAGTGCCCGGTGGTGTGGATGGTGGGCGTCGAGATCCAGATCCTCCTCCAGGACTGAATCACGCAAAAATAAGTTTTGATGGAGCAGGTGGCCCAACAGTTTCTGAGTCACTGCGTCATCTAGAGTTACCAAGTTTGCCACAGGTGGGATCAGAAGGAGCAGCGTTGCAGTTTGGGGATTGGTTGACTAAGGCCACTCCACTCATGTCAGACTTGGGAGCGTCCTCAAAGAATTGGTGGGAACGGTCGCTGATGGTGGCGGAAGACTTCTATGAGAGGTGGCTTGAATCTACACCCTTGGAACGCCTTCGCCTCAAGCCTGCCGTGGAGATTGATCCTGGATACACGCGCCTGGAGCAGCGAGGGATATTAATGCTGTTGCGGTATTCTTCCCGAAGCTCTTCGACGTGACATCGTTGGGGCCCGAAATGTGTTTACGGTTTCAATTCTCTACCGCCTCTTTGTGGTCTACCAGCCCCGCGGTAAGGGGCTCCCGAAAAGCAGGACATCGAAACAAGATGCCAGAGGGAAAATGAACCTTCAGAACACCATGGCACAAGGGGACATGAACCTGTGTCAGATCCTGGAGTGAGGGTACATGAACCCGCTTCAGTCAACTGTAGCCCAACGGGCTCCCGTCCACGTCTCTGCGCGGTGAGGGCCGATCAAACCTCCAGCCCGACGCCATGGAATGCGGTGGAGTTCGATCAGCCTCCGCGGGCCGCCAATGAGGATTTATGGGTCCAGATGAATGGAGGATGGATTGTCAGGGTCCACCGAAGCTTGCGGACTCGGAGGTTTCATCCTGTCCATCGGACTTGCCCTGTGAGGACAAGCGACCTGGAACCTGGCAGAACCAGTGTGATATGGTGGAGCGGTGCCCATGGTTGGACGAAAAACATCCAGCAGGATGAGTGGGGGTCGGAAATGTCGACCCAGATCTACCTGTTCAAGGGAGATGGAGGGGGCTGGACTTTTTTCCAGTTGAAGGAGTCGGTGCAGGCAGGTGCATCTTCTTCAGAAGTTTCAAGACTCCATCCGGACGTGATCCAGTGGAACTCACCAGAACGAGAACAACCTTGGAGACCTCCCGCACAGGCAGGTGCTTCAACAAGCAGTCAGCGGAGGGGACAGGTGACTGCAACAGAAAGAGGACATTTGGCTTTGGGAGTTGTCCGAGCTGAAGGGCATCAAGGGGGTCGGCGCCTTCGGTGACTTCAGATGGAAGCTGGTCGGTGGCGGGATCTGCCAAGGTCAAGGGCTCGATGGCTTCAAACGCCGGGATCCCAAAAGAAGATCACATCGATGATCATCGATGCAGACCGAGTGGTAGCGAGGGCGACAGCGATGGCTGGAAGGTCTACTTCGTCCTGTACCAGCTCAAGTGCATCAAGGGAGGTGAACCAGGAAGGAGGGTATAGCGTGGATCCAATGTTGCCCACGTTGGAAGAGCCCTTCGTGAACTCAGCCTTCCCAAAAGGGAGCGCAGTTTTGATGCGGCCACAACTGCGGCCGAGCAGATGGGCGGATGGACTTACGATTTCCATCAGAGAGGGTGAAACAGCTCGCACTGCGATGTTGAGGGCATTGCAGGCCCCTCTCCCACCAACGAGTTTGAGGTCGTCCTCAGAACCTGTGGATGAGACGCCGCTGGATCGACGCAATCGATATCAGACGTCGATGCGGTCAGATGTCTCAGACCGAGACCTATGGGATCTCCTGGATGGAGTTTGTCCTGATGCTCCAGCTTCCGAAGTCCCTGGTGATGAAGAAGACAACGGCGAGGCGGCGGAGTCGGAGTCAGAGATCACTGATGGCAGCTACTCCGTGATGAGCTCTACGGAGGACATGCCGCCAAATGACCCGAAGCTGTTCTTCGACGAGGTCTACGACGTCTGACGTCTGACAGGGCAAAGGTTTTTTTTTTAGGATTTAGGGCCTTGAAATGGGCCGCGGGATTCTTCTCAGGTTGCCGTGGCACGGCAAGGGGGAATGTGGAAGGTAAAACACCTTTTAACACTGGAACTGAGAAGTGTAACAAGTTTTTCCTGTGCAGATTAGCATAGCCACCTGCTAGGATGACTCTTAGCATGGTTGTCGCAAGGATGATGCGTACAAACCGCTGCGTACTTCGCTGCGTTGGCTCAAGAAAAAGCCCTGCCGCTGCAGGCGGCGCCCGTACTTGCTCAAATATATATATATATATATACATATACGTATATGTTTTTAGATACACACATATCGCACATATATTAATAATATAGTCTTGTTTTTTCCTTTTATGTTACACTCAAGTGCTCCTGTCATACTTGTAACATTCTCCAACTTTGTTTAGTCCATGCAACATCCAGCTGGAAGTGCAGCTGGTGCTGTCAGGTACTCCACTGAGCTTCCACACCCCAGGCTCGATCAGACTAATTCCCAATGAGCCAGGGCCCTGGGCCAGGAGACATGTCGTGACATGTTGTGACACTTTGGAGAATCCCGGGGAAGTTGGGATTTGGTTCTCCCAAATATCCGGTCTTGCTTTCAACATATTTAAGGGCTGACGCCCCTCGTCGGCTCCGCCGGATTTCTCGACCCTCCATTTCATCGCAGTGTGGGCTTGAAAGCTTTTGGATGGGGACCTGCTTCAGAAATATAGTCCTTATGTTTTTTGAAAAAAGTTCATCGAATAGGAACTTTGTTGGAAATAGACGGCTTTTTTGGGGAGCAAGTGAGTTCCCGAAAGCTCCTGCCAAGGGTTTTTCCCGAAGAACTGCTGCCAATTTCAACTTGTTACTTCGTGTAAAGGCGCCTCTGTGCAAAGACTTCTCTGTCTAAAGCTTTTGTGTGTAAAAGTTTCTGTGTGTAAAAACCACTTTGTGTAAAGACTTCTTTGTGTAAAAGCTTCTGTGTGTGAAAGCTTCTCTGTGTGAAACGTCTGTGTAAAGATTTCACTGTGTGTAAAAGCTTCCGTGTGTAAAAACTTTCTGTGTAAAGTGTAAAGGCTTCTCTGTGTAAAAGCTTCTGTGTGTAAACGCGTCTGTGTGTGAAAGCTATATATCTGTGTAGAGACTTCTTTGTGTAACAGCTTCTGTGTGTAAAGGCTCCTAGACGTTTGTGTGCAAAAGCTCCTTAGAGTAAAGACTTCTCTGTGTAAAACCTTCTGTGTGTAAAAAGCTCCTTTGTGTAAAGACTTCTCTGTGTAAAAGCCCCTGTGTGTGTAAATGCTTTTGTGTGTAAAAGCTCCTCTGTGTAAAGGCTTCTCTGTGTAAAAGCTTCTGTGTGCAAACGCGTCTGTGTGTAAAAACTCTCTCTGTCAGGCCTTCTTCGTGTAAAAAGCTCTGTGTGAAAAAGCTCCTAGACGTTTGTGTGCAAAAGCTCCTTGGAGTAAAGACTTCTCTGTGTAAAACCTTCTGTGTGTAATAAGCTCCTTTGTGTAAGGACTTCTCTGTGTAAAAGCCCCTGTGTGTGTAAAAGCTTGCTGTGTGTAAATGCTTTTGTGTGTAAAAGCTCCTCTGGGTGAAGGCTTCTCTGTGTAAAAGCTTCTGTGTGCAAACGCGTCTGTGTGTAAAAACTCTCTCTGTCAGGCCTTCTTCGTGTAAAAAGTTCTGTGTGAAAAAGCTCCTAGACGTTTGTGTGCAAAAGCTCCTTAGAGTAAAGACTTCTCTGTGTAAAACCTTCTGTGTGTAAAAAGCTCCTTTGTGTAAAGGCTTCTCTGTGTAAAAGCCCCTGTGTGTGTAAAAGCTTGCTGTGTGCAAATGCTTTTGTGTGTAAAAGCTCCTCTGTGTAAAGGCTTCTCTGTGTAAAAGCTTCTATGTGCAAACGCGTCTGTGTGTAAAAACTCTCTCTGTCAGGCCTTTTTCGTGTAAAAAGGTCTGTGTGAAAAAGCTCCTAGACGTTTTGGCCAGAAAATGTAGTTGGTCCGGTGTACAGTTCCCTTACGGAACAATTAGAGGGGCTCGGCCATGGGTGTCACATGAGACCCTTATGGTTTTCGCACGTTTTGCCCATAGCCTGCCGGAGTGTGGCCGTTCCGCTGATGCGTGGAACCGGCCGTATGCTGATTTACCATAGATTCTTTCTCCAGATCACACGACTGGAAGAGGCAAGAGCGATTCCTGCAACTTGGCAATAAAAAGACGTTTGTGTGCAAAAGCTCCTTAGAGTAAAGACTTCTCTGTGTAAAACCTTCTGTGTATAAAAAGCTCCTTTGTGTGAAGGCTTCTCTGTGTAAAAGCTTGCTGTGTGCAAATGCTTTTGTGTGTAAAAAGCTCCTCTGTGTAAAGGCTTCTCTGTGTAACAGCTTCTGTGTGTAAAGGCTCCTAGATGTTTGTGCGCAAAAGCTCCTTAGAGTAAAGACTTCTCTGTGTAAAACCTTCTGTGTGTAAAAAGCTCCTTTGTGTAAAGACTTCTCTGCGTAAAAGCCCCTGTATGTGTAAAAGCTTCTGTGCGACTCCTCCATCCAGCTTTCTTTCGGGTCACGCTGTCGTCCAGTTTCAATTTGCAACATTGTTTCTTGTGGAAGAATGCAAAGAACAGGTGAAAGCATCGCAGGTTAAAAAATTGAACATAAACAGGGCACAGAGTGCTGTAATTTACAACATTTTGCGCTGTCAGATGGCAAGAACCCGCGTAAATACCACAGTTTTAGTCCCCGAAAGTGGCTAAAACACTGTTATTTGCAGGGTTTCGTTCACGTCACGATCTTCGATTTTTTGAAAAACGCGTAAATACCAGCGTTTTTTGCGTTCATCAATGCAAAAAATCGGTTCAGAAAGGGAAGAAAATGCTGTAATTTACAGGGGTTTGGCGCCGCCACGGGCAAAAAACTGCGTAAATACCAGCGTTTCGGCACCCAAAAGTGGCCAAAACACCGCTATTTACAGTGTTTCGTGCCTTCCACGTTTTCTTGAAATTGCAAAAACCATGTAAATACCAGCAGTTTTTGCGATCAACCCGCCAAAAATGTTGTAATTTACAGTGTTTTTTTGCTTGGCTTTCAAAAACACTGGTATTTGCGGTGTTTTGTGCATCTTGGGTCCAAAAAGTATTGGTATTTACAGCATTTTCTGCGTTTTTGCATGGCTCCCGCGAAAGACGTTAAAACTTTGTGACTTTCGAAAAGCGAAAGATCGTCCGAAAAATGTGTCAAAACGGCGCTTTTTTCCGATTTTAGGTACCCTCAAAATCGTGGGGGGGCGGGATTATGCTCTTGGAGACGCTTATGAGCGACCCGGATTCCGTCCAAAAAGCTCTCCCCCACCTTCCTGAAGGATTTTTGGTGTTTTTCGGGGCCCGGCGTCGGAGGGTCGGCGGCTTGGGGCGCGCCTCACCTTAGAGCTCTAGTCGCTCTGGGACGCTCGTAGGGCAAGCCACTCGTGTGGAGCCGGCGGAGCCGAATTTAAGGGCTAACGCCCCTCGTCGGCTCCGCCGGATTTCTCGGCCCTCCATTTCATCGCAGTGTGGGGGCTGGAAAGCTTTTGGATGGGGACCTGCTTCAGGAATATATTCCTTACGTTTTTTGAAAAAAAAAACATGGAACAGGAACTTTGTTGGAAATAGACGGCTTTTTTGGGGAGCAAGTGAGTGCCCGAAAGCTCCTGCCAAGGGTTTTTCCCGAAGAACTGCTGCCAATTTCAACGTGTGACTTCATGTCAAGACGCCTCTGTGCAAAGACTTCTCTGTGTAAAAGCTTTTGTGTGTAAAAGTTTCTGTGTGTAAAAACCACTTTGTGTAAAGACTTCTTTGTGTAAAAGCTTCTATGTGTGAAAGCTTCTCTGTGCGAAATCTCTGTGTAAAGATTTCACTGTGTGTAAAAGCTTCGGTGTGTAAAAACTCTCTGTGTAAAGTGTAAAGGCTTCTCTGTGTAAAAGCCTCTGTGTGTAAACGCGTCTGTGTGTGAAAGCTATATATCTGTGTAAAGACTTCTTTGTGTAACAGCTTCTGTGTGTAAAGGCTCCTAGACGTTTGTGTGCAAAAGCTCCTTGGAGTAAAGACTTCTCTGTGTAAAACATTCTGTGTGTAAAAAGCTCCTTTGTGTAAAGACTTCTCTGTGTAAAAGCCCCTGTGTTGTGTAAATGCTTTGTGTGTAAAAGCTCCTCTGTGTTTGTAAGGCTTCTCTGTGTAAAAAAAGCTTCTGTGTGCAAACGCGTCTGTGTGTAAAAACCCTCTCTGTCAGGCCTTCTTCGTGTAAAAAGTTTTGTGTGAAAAAGCTCCTAGACGTTTGTGTGCAAAAGCTCCTTAGGGTAAAGACTTCTCTGTGTAAAACCTTCTGTGTGTAAAAAGCTCCTTTGTGTAAGGACTTCTTTGTGTAAAAGCCCCTGTGTGTAAACGCTTTTGTGTGTAAAAGCTCCTCTGGCTGAAGGCTTCTCTGTGTAAAAGCTTTTGCGTGTAAAAGTTGCTGTGTGTAAAAACCACTTTGTGTAAAGACTTCTTTGTGTAAAAGCTTCTGTGTGTGAAAGCTTCTCTGTGTGAAAGCGCGTCTGTGTAAAGATTTCACTGTGTAAAATTCTCTGTGTAAACGCTTCTCTGTGTAAAAGATTCTGTGTGTAAACGCGTCTGTGAATGAAAGCTATATGTATCTGTGTAAAAGACTTCTTCGGGGAACAGCTTCTGTGTGCAAAGGCTCCTAGACGTTTGTGTGCAAAAGCTCCTTAGAGTAAAGACTTCTCTGTGTAAAACCTCCCGGCCAGGTTTTGGCAAAAACGGCCGTTTCCCAATGATCCCAGAAGAGAAATTCAATAGCCGGCCGAGGGGCCGCCAAATGGCAGAAATTTGCTTCCAAAAGGCTCCCGGCCAGGATTTGGCCAAAAACGGCCGTTTCCCAATGATCCCAGAAGAGAAATTCCATAGCCGGCCGAGGGGCCGCCAAATGGCAGAAATTTGCTTCCAAAAGGCTCCCGGCCAGGATTTGGGCAAAAACGGCCGTTTCCCAATGATCCCAGAAGAGAAATTCAATAGCCGGCCGAGGGACCGCCAAATGGCAGAAATTTGCTTCCAAAAGGCTCCCGGCCAGGAATTGGCCAAAAACGGCCGTTTCCCAATGATCCCAGAAGAGAAATTCAATAGCCGGCCGAGGGACCGCCAAATGGCAGAAATATGCTTCCAAAAGGCTCCCGGCCAGGATTTGGGCAAAAACGGCCGTTTCCCAATGATCCCAGAAGAGAAATTCAATAGCCGGCCGAGGGGCCGCCAAATGGCAGAAATTTGCTTCCAAAAGGCTCCCGGCCAGGATTTGGCCAAAACCGGCCGTTTCCCAATGATCCCAGAAGAGAAACTCAATAGCCGGCCGAGGGACCGCCAAATGGCAGAAATTTGCTTCCAAAAGGCTCCCGGCCAGGATTTGGCCAAAAACGGCCGTTTCCCAATGATCGCAGAAGAGAAATTCAATAGCCGGCCGAGGGGCCGCCAAAAGGCCGAAATTTGCTTCCAAAAGGCTCCCGT